GGCCATCTGTGTCTCTTTTAACCTTTTTTATTTTGAAGCCTATTTTATCTGATAAATGTATAGTTGTTCCTGCCTTTTTTTATCTGATATATGTATAGCTGTTCCATTGCTTGTAATATTGCTTTTCATTCTTTTACTTTCAATCTATTTTTGTCTTTGTAGTTCATTGTGATTCCTGTAGATAGCAAAAGGTTGGGTTCTGTTTTTTAATTCAGCCAGTGACTCTGTTCATTGATGAGTTTAAACTATTTACATTTAGAGTTAATATTGATTTATTGACACCAATATTTTCCATTTTGTCTGTCTTTTTGTGGTTATATTCCTGGTTTGGATCTGTTATTATTCATCCCTCTGTTGGCTTTGGCTTTAGGACTTCTTGTAGTATTTTTTGGAGTGGAGTTTCATTGTGACAAAATGGTGGAGTTTCTGTTTGTCTGAGAATGTCCTTATTTTTTCTTCATACAGGAAGGAGAACTTCACAGGCTAAAGTATTCTTGGTTGACATTTGGTGTCTTGGAGTTTGTTGAGTATGTCCCTTTACTCTCTTCTTGCCCGTAGTGTTTTTTGGAGAAGTTTACTATTCAGCTTGATTGGTGTTCCTTTATAGGTTACTTGTTTCTTCCTCTTGTCATGCTCATTATTTTTTCCTTGTCTTGTATTCTTGGGAGCTTTAGTATTATGTGTCTTGCTGTATTTCTCCTTTCATCATAGTAGTTGGTGTTCTTCTCAGTTCATGTATGTATATTTCATGCCCTTAATACTTCGGAAGTTCTCTTCAACTGTCTTTGTGAATATTTTCTCAATTCCTTGGCCTTTCTCCTCACCTTTTGGTAGACCTATAATTCTGAGATTACTTTTACTCATAGTGTCAGATAGCTCTCAAAGTGTTTGTTTCTTCATTCCTTTTTTTTCATATCTCTTTCCTTTTCTGTTTTGACTCTCTTTATTTCTGTGCTTTGAGGATGCTGATACATTCTTCCATTTCATCTATCTGTTTTCACTGCTCTTCCCAGAATTCTCTATCTCCTCCAGTAGTCTTTTAATCTCCTGCTTCCTTTTATTTCCTTTGTTAAGGTCTTGTTTTCATTCTTCAGTTCATTGATTATTATCTCATATCATTTTTTCCCTTTTTTTCATCTTTATGTTTGTTAATCATGATGCTTCTAAATTCTCTGACAGAGAAGTTCTTGCATGTCATTGTTATTGAGTCTGGTGACTACTCTTTCTGTGGTGTATTTTTCCCCTGTAGACTTGCTTGGATATTTGTATTTTTCCTTCTCCCTGTCATTTGTTTTCTAAAGAGTTGTATGTGTTGAGACACTGTGTTGCTGGTATTGGCCTGCTTGATCACTTCGTCCTGTTGTTAGCTTTCTGCTTTGTTGTGTTATGGCACACAGGTGAATTGGTGATGGGAAGCCCATAGGGTTTACAACTGAGCTGGAAAAATAAACAAAATGAAGAATGATGTAAAAAGAAAATAATAAGTAGTCCTGTGCCACTTTTACTGTGGGCATGGTTTCTAATTACTCTTTGCTGTGGTGTGAATATGTCTGTCCTTTGACACTTTCAAGTTAGTTATTAATTTCTCTGTAAAAGTTGTAGGTGGGATCTTCCAATATAAGACTGGCTTTAAAATGTGTTGTTTAATGTAGCCACTTTTTTGTGTTTTTAAGATTTACTCATTTATGCATGTACAGCCAGAGGTGCAAGGGTGGTGGGAAGATTCACCAGAGACAGAGTGTGAAGCAGAACAGTCAGATCGATGAAATACACTGCTGAGGGGTGCAGTGGGAAGGTCAGGAGAGATCTGCCATGCCATGTGGATCACCTCCCGGACACTAGGGATCGAATTCATGCCAAAGTGGCTTTCACTTCTTAGTGCTGTGCTTTAACCCGCTGCACCACCAGGGAGGGTCCAATGTAGACACTTTTAATAATTGTCTTTGATATGTCTTCTGATAATATGCTGCAGCTTCTAATTCAGGACTTACTGCTTCACCTTGCACTTTCGTGTTATGAAGATGACTTCTTTTCTTAAACCTTGTGAACCAGCCTCTCTTTTCTTCAGATTTTTTCTCCTGCAATTGTCTTAACTCTCTGCACCTTCATGAAGGTAGAGAGTTGGGCCCTTGTGCTGGGTAAGACTTTAACTTAAGGGATACTGTGACTTGTATGACCTATTTAGGGTACCAGAACTTTCTATATATCAGCAATAGACTGTTTTACTTTGTTATTACTTGTGTGTTCACTGGGTTAGCACTTTTAATTTCCTTCAAAAGCTATTCCTTTGTATTCTTTGTATTGACAACTTAGAGACCCATTTTTTAGTCTACTTTGGTTTTCAACATACCTTCCTTACTAAGAAGAGTCACTTAGCATTCCTTCCAAAATTGGATTTAAACTGAGAGTTGTGCAATTCTTCTTTTTATTTGAACACTTAAAGCCACTGCAGTGTTATTAATTGGCCTGATTTCACTAGTGTGTATCTCAGAGTAGAGAGGACAGAGGGGAGTGGGTGAGAAGATGGTGCTGTATCTGAGGTTTGTGGTTACTGCCTGTCTCTGGGCTGCTCAGAGACATGCACAAGGAGTTAGGAGCAGACCAGGGCCAAGGGTGGCCTTTGAGTATTGGGTTTTGTGGGGGCATCTGAGGGGCTTGTAGGAAACCCTTTTGTGGTGTACTCCAAGAGTTGTATCAGTGAATAAATACATTCCTTTGGGGCCCTTTGATGTTCTGTGCTTTTTTTCATGTTCTACTCCCTTTCCTCAGATAGAACTTGCCCCAAAAATCTCACCACTGCTGGTGATAAAGGAATACCTCCACTGTAAGTTGTAACATAAGGAGGCTAAGTAGCCACTAAACCACTTTCACTTTCCATGTCCTCTAGTAAAGATTTGATCTTTGAAACCTCCAGTCCAATGCCTTGCATTGCTGCCTTCTTCTCTGTCTCAAACCTTGTTTCCATTCTTCTCTGGTAGCACATACCAGATTCTACTCTCAGCTGGGCAGGATTTCTATACATTCCTTGTTGGTCATGGGTATCATGTGGTTTTGCAACTCTCTAGTTTTTTTTTTTTACTCAGTTGTGGTAGTGGGGGTGAGGAAGGTGCTGACTCCTTTGCCTCTGCATACTTGACCAATGTCTTATTTGTCTTATTTATTTTTGGATGCTCAGGAGGTCAAGAGTCTTCCCAAGTTCCTTTGTATAAATGAGGTCTTTTTGTTCTGTGTGAATCTCAATTCATTTTGACAGGAAAGAGGAATTTTTTGCATCACCATAATTCTGAAATCACAAAAAAATCCCTTAAATTTTCATTTTATTGTCTTTTTTTTAAAGATTTATTTATACTTACAGAGACAGAGTGGGCTACAGAACAGGCAGTTTGATGAAGTACACTGCTGAGAGTAGCAGCAGGCAGGTCAGAATAGGTCTGCCATGCCATGTGGGTTACCTCCCTGGCCGGGAATTGAACTCTTGCTACAGTGGCTTCGGAGAGCTTCATCATGCGATGCTTTAACCTGTTGCACCAATAGAGAGAGCCCTTCATTTTATTGTTTTTTCATTTCAGTGTTTGCCTTTATTGGTGATGATGCTTAGGTCTTCCTCTATCTTGCGGTCGTAAATGTATATATAGCTTCATATATTATCAACATCTAGCTACTTCAGCACTATTAATAGTTTCATTTTTCAAGTATACTATATGTGATTGTATGAAGTATGTGTGTACAAACACTGTGGTGAGCTTGGCTTTGGGACCAAAGCCCAGGTTCTATTCACCTCTCCTTGTTCTGTCAGTGAGTAGATGATTACAGTTTTCAAGTAAAGGTTAGCTCATGAATACCTTAAGGGAATTAGGCTTGATGAATTTGAATCCTAGGTCTGCTTCTTTTTATTAAACGGCACATGTGGTAAATTATGTAGTTCATTAGCCCTTAAAATGGGGGCTATCAGTCTTTTCTATGGAGAATAGTTACATCATTTAGAAATGATGTGATAACGGAGCTCATCATATAGTGTATTCTTCCTACCTAGAAGGTGAAGGAGGTTGTTCAGTTGTTCTTCATGTAACATATCCAAACCAGAGCTACACTTTTTATTCCCAGAACCTTGACTATCATCCATATTTTTACTGAAGGCAAAACCCATGTGTACTCCTTGATTCCTTTTTTTTTTTTTTAAGATTTATTTATTCATACAGAACTGGGGTACAGGCCAGAGATGGGGATGGTGAGAGGATTCACCAGGGACAAAGTGGGGAGCAGAACAGGCAGATCTACGAAGTGCACTGCTGAGGGAAGCAGCGGGCAGGTCAGGAGAGGTCTGCCACACCATGTGGATCTCCTCCCGGGCAGGCGGGGATCAAACTCATGGGGAGGTGGCTTAGACTACTAAGTGCAGTGCTTTAACCTGCTGTGCCACCAGGGAGGGCCCTGATTCCTTTTTTTAAAATCCTTATTATCCTCACTCTCATAAGCCCTAAACTAAGTCTTGTGATATTGATATTTTTATAATCAGTTAAATAAATTGAAGTGCAGACCAGACACTTAGTAATTTGGGGCAAATGATTTCATACAGTGCAACTGAAAACATTTCTTTCTCCAGATACCATGTAAGATTTCTCAGATAACTTCAGCTTTCTGACTAGACTGCTTCTATTCTTCTCTTGTCTATTTTCCCTGTACCATACAACGTTTATTGTAATTTTTAATATGTTTATCAGATCTTGTTGTTTGCTTGAAACCCTTAAAAGTTGTTAGTGTTATGACTCAGTATGTAGAAAGAAAATATTAGAAATTAAGAACTTGAATAAATACTTGAGCTTACACAATGAAGAACTCCTATGAAATAGTAAGGAAAAATACTGATTTCCTTAATTAATGAATAAAAGACAGCAGTTCACAAAAAGAAGATATGAATTAGGGAAATGGCCATAATATTAAGTAAATTTAAGACTTTCATTTAAATGTTAAAACTAATTCTGACAATTCTGTTTTTATAGGCAATCCATCTCGAAGATCCAAGTCTGTGCCTTGTCATGATTTAGGCAAATTGGATAAGGGACAAGTAAATATCTTTTTATTTTTATACATTCAAACATAGACCAGCTGAGGCTTTAAGTTGATTAGTTAATTGCTGAAGACCAGCTTCAGCTGAGTTAAGAGTCTCACACAGTAAAGGATAGCATTGGCGAAGGAAAAAGAGAGAGAGAAGGTGAGGCAGAAAAATGAGGAGATGCAGGTAACTGTTTAGGTGAAAGCACCTTTTGCCAGTTGTCCCAGCAGGCCTTTATTTATACATTACAAGCAAGTGGTAAGGTTATATCAGTGTGTGCATAAAACAGAAAGTTCAACAATCATCACATTTTTCTTAAAGACAGCTTTGACTTTTTGATCTCTTATTCATACTGTGATATTCATACATAAAATGCTCCGATAGTGACCAGTCATTAATAAGCAAATATCCTATGGTGATCAGTCATCAAACAAAATATTCCTATGGTCATCAGTTATCACTTAACAAAATGTTTCTATGGTGATCAGTTAGCTATTATAACTAAAGCAATCATTTTGTTAATTTCTCAGTGAACATACATTTTAAAGGTACAGGATCTAATGTTAAGGAACTAGGAGTCAGAAAAACACAAATGCCGAGTGCACTGACATTTCCCTGCCCTTAAGGAAAAAACCCTTTTGATCTATAAAAGGAGCTTCTACTAGTCACTATTCCTGTAATTGTTTTGTCAACCTAGTCTATATCTAATATAAGAATTAGGGGAAAATTTCTTTCTTTATGGTCACTGATTATTATCCTATTAATCTTATCTAAAAAAAACCTTTCTATGGGAAAAGAGGTTGGGGTAAAAGTTAAAGGAAAGAGTAGGAAAACTTATTATTTATGACTCTATTACTTAAAATGAAAATATGTTACTTAAAACTATAGATCTTTCATTGGGGACTAGGCAGGAAATTATTGCAGCCTTTGGTTCCCAGAATTCTTGGACCATGACATGTCTCTCGTTATCGTGGGACCTAGATTTGTGCCAGCCCTCTCAAGCAGATGGATATTAATTATAACGTACTGTGCTGTTCTGTGTACAGTGCTATTGTTATTAAACCAATCAATCCAATCAATTATTGATTTTATATTGAATATATATTTGGACAATTGCTATGCTTCTTGGGAATGGCCAAAAACATACCATACTTCTTGGAAACGGCCATAAACAAATGAAAAGAATCCAGCAGGAACCAACTGTGGAATATCCTGACCTTTCGGGATTTTTTTTACCCCACGTCAGGATCTTGTCATATAACATGGGTAGCGTGGCCCTTGCCAGTTAATGAACTTTCTAGCCCATTTATAAAGTGTTTTTATTTAACATTATTAACAGTTTGTATGTAACATGAAACATTTGTCTTAGAATCCTATAATAGTATATATAGCCTGGCTTTTGGAAATAAGCGTAAGTTTCAGCAGCTAAAAATGTTGTAGTATGTGTCCTTTAGGATTTATGAAAATATTTTGTCTCCACAGACAGCTTCACCCAGGGAACCTCCTGAACCAGTAGATTTTCCAAATCATGAATATAAAGAGGAGGATGAAAAAGAGGAAAATGAAGAAGAAATTCAAGGAGAAATCAGTCATCCTGATGGGAAGGTTAAAAAATTATTTTTTAAATAAAATAAATACAGTAAAATGAACACAGGTAACACAGAGTTGAAATAGCCTTTTAAAAAAGTGCTTTGGAGTGCAATCTCAGCCTGAATCTTTACATAATTCTAAAGATGCTCAGTATGTAAACATGCAGCTAGTCTACTTAGAGAAAGAGCAAACGAGAGCAGTTTCTTTGTTTAAACTATTTATGTTCTTACAAATATAGCTAAAAAGCTTTTGTAATCTTGACACTTTAAAAAAAAATCAGTTCTAGCCCTTACACTTTCAGTCGCTGTTCTTAACTATCTCTGGTTTGGTGCCTTTCTCTCTGTCTGGCCAAACTACATAATTTTATTCTTGTGCTTGGAAAGTTTATGAACCGAAAAATTGTCTGGTTGAATGTTCCATCTAGAAGAAGAGATGCAAAGGGGAGGGACATATGTAGAGTAATTGTTAGCCAGGGAGGTGGGGAGAAAATATATATTCAGATTATAGAAAATTTATTTTTTCAATGTGATCTATTTCAGTTGCACGTAAGGTCCAAAGTTGAAGAAGGAAGGAAAAGAACAACAGTCAAAGTAGTTAGACGTTTCCTCTACAAATTCTACTGTAGGGTAACAGGTTGTTGATGAGAAAATATTTTCTTTTTAAAAATAATTCTAATAAAAATATTTTGTTTTTAAAAATAATTCTAATAAATGGAAAAGGAATGAGAAAATGAGTGCTTTGCAACTTGTCATGGAATAAAGGGTAACAATTTAGTGCCTACCACAACCATAGAGGAATGGTTGATGGGGTGTTACGATGAATCTGACATGTAAGGCAATCCTGAAGTCACAAGTACAAGTGCATATAGTACTCAGAATGTGTTTCTTAAAAAGGCTTATAGCAGTACCTAGAAAGTATTCTTAAAATAATCCAACCCAGATTTAATCAAACCTCTAAATTTAAATACTAGGTCTTGGAAAGAAATGTATGAAAACATGTGAAATGATGGTAATTTGAAAACAGCCAAATCTAGAATGTGGGAAATTTAAATGTTCCACTGACCCAATGATGGGACTTGGAGATGCTGAGGGGCCCTGGAGGTTCTTGATTCCTGTATAGAAAAGAATTTTGTGCGAGTCAGAATGGGTGAGTTAGAAATGAAGCTTTATTTGTAGGTGATAGCAAACACTCAAGAAAGGGAATGCAGGTAAATTCAAGGAAGAATGTACCTTGGCTCTTAAGGCTGCTGAAATTCACCTTGCTTGAGGGGACAGGGGCTCACAGTTTGGATTCTGAATGGGTTCTGACCAGTTTTGTTTGACTGGGCCTTTCATCCTATAGGTGAAGTAAAAAGATTTATTTTGAGATAAGTGTCTAAACTGATAAAGAGTTTGGGTTGCTTTGCTTTGGAATATCAGAGGTATTTTTTTCAATTACTGGATGGGGGAAGAGTGTCAGTAGTTTTTGTGCTTAATTTCTGTTGTATCCTGTGAGTTCCCTCAATAAGTAATTGGTATTAAGAAGGGGATTCCAGGGCCCTCCCTGGTGGCGCACAACACTAAGAAGCAAAAGCCACTTCAGGATGAGTTTGATCCCCACCCCAGTGGTGACCTACATGGCACACAGCAGATCTCTCCTGACCCATTCGCTACTCGTACTCTCAGCACTGTACTTCGTCGATCTGTCTGTTCTGCTCCCTAGTCTGTCTCTGAATCCTCTCACTGTCTGTGTACCTCTGGCCTGTACCCAAGTTCTGTATGCATAAATAAATAAATCTTTTTTTTTTTTTTTTAAGAATTTCTGGGCACACTTCTTGACTTCTCCTTCCACACCATCTGTACCTCACCCTCAGTGGAGCCATCTGATGGCCTACTTGCAGAAACATTTCTGTGGATAGCTGAGAATTTTCTCTTTGTGGAA